CCTGGGGGCTCCTAGGGGCAGCCAACCAACCTGCCTCTAATTGCCAATTTGCTCTCTGCTTTGGTCTATCAGTCCATTAGGCTCTTGCTGTGCCCCTCATCCCACCCCATTCATCCAGGGATGCCCCTGAGAATCGAAGGGCTTAGCTCCCTCTAACGACGGGAACCAGTTTCCTATAAACTCGGGGAGGGGGGACCACAGAGCAGTCAATTTCACCCCCCCCCATGCACACACAGCACCAAATTGTGATTCTTATGACACCCCACCCCCACCAAGCCTTCTTCTCTATTTATTTCCAATTAATACAGCTTTCCAATATCTGCTATTTCTTGTGGGCAGATCGGGGCTCTATTTTAGAGGATAATAAGCAGCAATCCATTCCATTTAGCAACGGGGAAAATCCATTAAAAAAAGACGGGCTCTGCATAAGCGGATGGGTCAAGAAAAGATAAACCCATTTTTTTTCAAAAGCCATTATATAAAGTGCCAGGTGGCTTTTTTTAACAAGGTTTTTTTTTTGGGGGGGGGGGAATTAGGACAATTATGGGACAAAGGAGCAGAAGGGGAAGGGGGCAGCAATAGGACGGTAGAGGACCTCCTGCTCAACAGGGGGTTGGACTAGAAGATCTCCAAGGTCCCTTCCAACTCTGGTATTCTTTTGGGACGACCCCAAAAAGGCAGCTCCCTATTTTCTTTTAATTCAAATAGTCATCGGGGTTTGCCTCTTTGATTCTTTTAAGATTTCTTCACGCCCGATTGTCAGTCCTCAGGAAAATCAATCGAACGAAAAAGATGACCAGATGGGCTAATTCTACTTTAGTGTAAGGCTACATTAACAAAAGCTTGGGAGTATGAATGTACAAAGTTCCCAGGACTACTTTTAACTGCCTGAGTAATTAAGGAGGATCTTTCCTAAGTTTCTTCTAACTATTAAGCAACCGAGGGCTCCTCCCTCTCTTATCCGATTGTTTCCTAGGTCTGATTATTTCCTTCCTTCCTTCCCTTCCTCCTCCCTTTCTCCCTCCCTCTCTTCCTCCTTTCTTTTTCTTCCATCCATCTCCTTGTGTCTTCAGACTCCACTCTCTCCTTTCTTTCCTTCCTTCCTTCCTTCCTTCCTTCCTTCCTTCCTTCCTTTTCTTCCTTCCATCTCCCAACCACTCTCTTCCTTCCTTCCTTCCTTCCTTCCCTTCCTTCGCTTCCTTCTCCTTCCATCTTCAGACCACTCTTACCCTTCCTTCCTTCCCTTCCTTCTTCAGACCACTCTCCCTCTTCCTTCCTTCTTTTCCTTCCCTTCCTCATCTTCCATCCTTCTTACATCTTCAGAGTCCACTCTCCCCTTTCCTCCCTCTCTCTCCTTCCTTCCCTCTCTCCCCCAAGATCATCCAAACATACCATTACAGATAGAGCGGGGCAGGAGGTGGGTGGAATCTGCTCCCACAAACTTTTAGGTAACTACATGGAGAGAACATGACCAAAATGCTAGCGAACTGCATTGCTTCCTAAGATAAACATAATTTTTAGGATTCAAGGTGGCCTCACCCTTGCTGACATGATCCTCCCGCTTCTGCCCAGGGTTGCTGATCTAAAAGTTGACAGCCAAGTATTTGGATTGTGTTGCTTTATAACCAAGTCCGCAAAGGTTTCTGCTCTGACATGTGAACGGCCTGTGGCCCAGACTTTCATTCTGACTCACCGGAGCAGGGCAGGAGATTAGCTGCTTAACAGCACGGTTTGCAAACCAGCTTACATCTCAAGTGCATCTGAGGGCACAGAGTTGAGAACAGAAATGGATGCTGATGAGATCTGCTCTGGTTAAAGAGGCTTTTATTTTTTTTAAAATGGTTCTTCCTCGTAGCAACAACGTGGTAGCGGATGAAACAAACTATGATGGAAGAGAATATTTGTAGGTCGGGGTTGGATCTGTGGGGTCCTTGGTGTTCCCAGAAGTCAATGACTATGTTCACGGAGCACCAAGGACATTATCTGTGTGGTTCTTTCATGGGGGGAAGGTTCTGCTCAATCCATTCTCTGCCTGTTAAATCACCTTGGGAGAATATTTCCCCTTTGCTGGAGGTCTCCAAACATGTTGGTTTTAACCAATAGTCACTCAAATCATTTAGCTACGCCTTACAATGGAGCAGTGGCTCAGTCGCTGAGCTTGTCGATCAGAAAGGTCGGCAGTTCGAAACCCTAGCGCCGCATAATGGAGGGAGCTCCCGTTACTTGTCCCAGCTTCTGACAACCTAGCAGTTTGAAAGTATGTAGAAAATGCAAGTAGAAAACTAGGAACTACCTTTGGTGGGAAGGGAACAGCATTTCATGTGCCTTTGGCACTGAGTCATGCTGGCCACATGACCATGGAGATGTCTTCGGACAGCGCTAGTTCTTCAGCTTTGAAACAGAGAAGAGCACTACCCCCTAGATTCGGGAACGACTAGCACATATGTGCGAGGGAAACCTATAGCTTTACAATGGAGCCTTACTAGGTATTTATTGATAAGGAGATACAAGTCCTTCAAGTTGCCATTGGCCAAGAACTCAAGAGTCTCCAGAAATGGAGTAGCATCTATGAAGCAGGGATGAATGGGTGGGTGGATGGATGGGTCGGTGGGTGGGTGGGTGGATGGGTGGGTGGATGGATCACAAATGACACCATTCAACAGCATTTTGGTGTGACACTAATTACAGAGAAGATGGGAGAAGGCTAGCTCCACCAGTATGGACATGTCCTGACCTTCTACTTTCCACCATGGCCAAGACTGGCTAACAACTAGAAGTCAATAGCTGGCATCCTCGGGGGCACCCAAAACGGAGATGGCAACACATGATCAACAAAGATATGTAAGCCACGGGGCCTGAGCCCTGGAGATGCAGCTGACTGTGCAAAGTGGCATTCAATCATCTGAAAAGTGGACCCTGCACTTGCAGGAATATGCTAGGAGGAGGAGGTGGAAAAACCAGGTGAAGTTCTTCTAAGCAAGTTCCTTTATTGTTCCTCACCTATAGACAGAAATAGCTGTCATTTTGTGTATCAACAAAGCTTCCCTTACAGCCATTATTCTGGGAGAACACTCACAACATTGCAAGAGGAGGGGAACGAGGAAGAGGAGGAGGAGGAGAAAGAAAAAGAAGAGGAAGAAGAAGAAGAAGAACAAGAAGAAGAACAAGAACAAGAAGAAGGAGAAGAAGAAACCATATATTATCCATAGAATTAGAAGAATTAGAAAAAGAATTAGAATTAGAATTAGAATTAGAAT